TGTCAAACTGTTTATCTAAGAACCAGATTAGAGTGAACACACACTGTGTGCCATACATCTTTGTGGACTAGTTAACCATCTGACTGAAGGTTATATTTATATTTGACAATTTTAGAATGGTGGACAAAAGAGAGGGGTGATAAATCACATGGATTTAAGACATATCTAGGGATCAGACGGAGACCTTTTGGCTCACAGCAATGTGCAAACACTACCCTTCATTTTGCAAGAGCAAGAAGTTTTTCTTGAGAAAATATAAACTTTGGAAACTCTTATGGTGTGTTCACACCGAACGCGAATTTAATTTGCGCGAGTGGATTACATACAAAGTCAATGCAAAGACGCGAATAGACGCATCATTCGCGCCGGGCGTTGCGAATGACGCGAATTGGGCGACGCGTTTGCCGCGAACGTCTTCCGCGCAAGTTGAAAAATTTGAACTCGAGCGAATGTTCAAGCGTCTAACTAGACGCGATAGACGCGTATTTGACGCTCTATTCGCGTTCGGTGTAAACACACCATTACACCGGAGACACTGCCCTACCTTTTAAACCATAAAAGTACTATAAATGTTTTAATGCATATATACAATTAGACGAAACTGTTCTGTTTGGAACCTTGAAGGGTTCTGTCAGGCGCTTCATATACAGAAACTTTTGAGGTTCGCATCATGGGATCATTTTATGGACCAATTTTTAAATTAAATCTCTTTATCTTTCAGCCCTCTATAAGTTAAAAGACAAAACTGCATGCAATCTGCGGAAGAACATAGTTTTGGTTGTGCTTGGGCTCGCTCTATTTACGGATATGACGAGACACGCACAGACAAGTGACGTATGTACGCAATTTCCCATCAGGTCTCAAACAGAGAATGTCTAATATGGGCTTTGTCTCAAATATAAACACTTATAATAGACTTACCATATAGTGAACCAGGCAAAAACACGTTTTAGAAGAAGGATTGATGATGTAGTGACTCATTATTTAAATTTAGTTAATTTTGGAAGTTACATAGTGTAGCTATAATTAATTTAATTAAATTTTATTTGTAATTGTATTTTATTAATTAAACCGCTTGTAAACATACTTTATCATAAAAAAAAAAAAAAAAAAAAAAATTTGAAATTTGATGCAATTATTTAGGACATTTCTCCTTGTTTAACCTTTTTTGCATAAACGTTTCTTTAAAATTGGGTCAAGTAAGAATCCTATATCCCACACTTCTTTCTAAGAGTGTACAGTTCAGCCAGTTTGAAGTGGAATGTGAAGAAAACGGTATGGTTAATAATTTTGCTATAAGGTCTAACCCAGCTTTCACATTTTTTTCGCATGTCTTTTTGATGTTCTTTAGTGTGTTGTTTATTATTTTGGCAGCTCACACACCTATGGCAGGAGGGTAGAGAGAGAGAGAGAGAGAGAGAGAGAGAGAGAGAGAGAGAGAGAGAGAGAGAGAGAGAGAGAGAGAGAGAGAGAGAGAGAGAGAGAGAGAGAGAGAGAGAGAGAGAGAGAGAGAGAGAGAGAGAGAGAGAGAGAGAGAGAGAGAGAGAGAGAGATGCCAAAAGAAACTGCTGTTTCTCTCGACCCTCACATCCACTCACACTGCGGTTTCAGGTCATTTTGGACCATGAGTCTACTACTCTACCAAGAGCATAATTGTGTCCCTCAAGGAAGAAAACAAACTGAACAAAATGTCTTCAGAAAAACATTTAACTATTTCGAGCACAGTCTGAAAGCAAACATAACGTTCCATGACACTGTGGGAAACATGGAATCACATATTTCATTCTGATCATCAGGACTATTGACCTAAAATAACGAGATTTCAAAAATGCTACTTCTGATGGAGTTTTAAATCCGTTCACTGGTGACTTCATAATCACATGCTTGAGCATTTATTGTAATAATAAGTGTTCTCATAAGAGCAGTGATGATGTCAGCATTCTTCCTCAAACCACACGAGACGTTAGATCAGAGTAGCAGAGACTGAAGTTCCTCTTTCCATCAGCCCTGTGACCGTCAGACGTGCTCCGTTGCGTAAGGTCTCACATCTGCTCCGTTATGTAATATATGAGAATACAGTCTGCTAAAAATGAAGTTACACAAGAACCCTGTAGGAACTTATACTGTAAGAGGCCAATTTTAATTTATACTAAAGTTGTTTGGACACTTAAAGGGTGTTCACCTAAAAATATCAAGTCTGTAATTGTTTACTCACCCTCGTGACTTTCTTTCTTCTCTGCAGTATAAAATATACAATGGAAGACAATAGTAACTAAAATGCTTGGTTATCAACATTCTCCTGATAATCTTCTTTATATGTTATGTTTCCCAGAAGGAAATTTAATTCACACAGGTTTGTAGGGTGATTTAGAGTAAATCATAAATAAATAAAAATTCAAATGAAAAAAAGCACGGACGTCAACCCTTTAGATAAGAAAGCAAGTACAATATGCAACCTGTTTGATGTTGTCTCTAATGCTGTGACATTCATGCGTTTCAAGTGCATTCTCTCTTGAAAATACCGCAAACAAGAAAAAAAATAGTGCTGGTTTCGACTGCAGTGAAACTTCAACTTCCTCTTTCATTCTCTGCAGAGCGTCTCTGCACAACTGTGCATTTCCTTAGGTGGTTTCAGCGGGACCATGACCTGATTCGAGAGCTGCAGTGGTGCAGATACGTAAGGGATAATGTAGAGCGAGGCGGTTGTTACAGCGAATACAACCCTGACAGGCTGGTTCAAGTCCTGATTCATTATCCCGCTTCTTACCAATTAAATCAATAATTTGACACAAAATATGGATTTAAAAAGGAGTTTATTCATTTAAAGGAGTTTATCCTCCAGTGAACAGAACTGTGTCCATGGCAACGCTTTGTTTTTCATGGCAACGGTGTGTTACTATAGCAGCGCTCTGTTATCAAAAAATAAAAGACCACATTCTACATTAGAATTCAACCAAGCCTTTTTTTTTTTTATTCTTTTTTTTTTTTTTATTCATTATATATAATTTTTCTGTATCTTTGTTATCCCACTGATATAGTGCCCTATATATATTTATTTTAAATTTGTATTATCTTAATTATTGATTTATTAATTTTTATTTATTATTATTTGTATTTCTTTTTCTTTTTCTCATACTGGGGTAATTGCTGATTGTTTGTCTTCGTCATTATATGTCATGTTTAAACAATAAAAATTTGATAACAAAAAAAGAATTCAACCAAGCCATGTAATAAAACTAGATAATGCATGTGAGATACAGGACAAGAACTCTGTTATAGGGTTTATAGTAGGGCTGGGCTAAAAATTAATCGATTTTTAGTTTGAGGAACCGATATCAATCCTTAAAGTCCCCCTGTAGTCAACACATTTATCCCTTAAAACTTTTTTTTTTCTTCATGCCTCAAAATATCTGGAATGTAACTCGACACCCTTGCCTCGTTTAGTATACGCGGTTCTATGGATATGCAAATGAGCCCCGCCTCCACTCACTCACTCAGCTCAGAGATCCACTGGTTGACGATCACACGTTGATCTGATTGGTTACAAGGTAGTGTGTGACGTCAGAAACACCAGCGATTTCAAACCGTGTTTTTGAGACTGTCTTTGGTTCACTGCAGTTTTAAGCAGAAAATACTCAGCAATGCTGTCGACTTATGAATTTACACATGGTGTGTCTTAAAGCGTATTAAAAACACCACATAGACACATAAACAACATTAAAAACATGATTTTCACCACAGGGGGACTTTAAATCACAAGAATCATTCTTTTTAGTCTGTTTTCAGTGAACAAGTGTAGCTCCTCTCATCCAATAAATTGCAATAAGCTTTGTTACTTATGATATGAAACAAAGTGTCAACCTTCTGCAATTTTCTTAATAAATTCAAACATTAAATAACGTTTGGGTGCTACTTAATGTGTCGTGACAGATCACTGTAGCGCCTCAGTTGAACCGATCATCTCTTCCACTTTACTGCTATTTACAGCTTAAAATAAACATGAATGAACATCAGAACAACTTCCTGAAGTCAATCATGTCTCGTGTAATCCATCAATCTGTGTTTCAACCGCTGAAAGACGTTGTGAAACAGCTTGTAAACAATGTCATCTAATTAAATTTACCTCAGAAAAGACATTCAGAATTCCTTAGTCAGCTAGAAAAATAAACTAGAGCATTTTGCTAAATGTATGCACTATATTGCAAAATCATTGTATTTTTACTTAATCTGCTCTTGTATGACAGCCACCAATTTAAATGTTTATATTAAAAATAATGAGTAGAAACATAATGAAGTCATTAAAAATGTATTATTATAACGTGGTTATTGCGCTTTAAACATAAGTGACACACCAGCTGGGGTTTACAGCATTAGTTGAGAGAGATGTAATTCCTTGAGGAAATGTGCCATGTACTGTACCTGATATAATACTGTATATCCCAATTTATCCTTATTGAATCAAAATCTAATCGAATCATGAAATATGTGTCAATGCCCAGGCCTAATTTATAGTTGTCCAGGTCATATTTCACGGTAAAAATACATTTTATTACGATTCTTTGCATAATGACTTGATTTTCATGACAATTAAGCGCTTTCTTTTGTCAGATGTACCCCATTACCCTAAACAATTATGATGTAGTTATTCCCTACATTAAATACATTTAGTTCCTGATATAAAAAATAAATAAATGAAAAACCATTTATAATTGTTTTATGCAAAAACCTTTATTTAAAAATTCTTTACAAGGTGAAATTAACATTACACAATATGTTAAACATGGTAACACTGATATTTTTACAAAAAAGTAAAAAAAATAGCTATTTATCAACAAGTCTTCATGACTTAAACGAAATTGTGCTTTTTTATATAAAACATATATATAATTATTTATTAAAATAAAACATCTACTGAGAAACTTGGAAGTTTGTGACGAATGAGAAAGACACGTAAGCTCTGTTTCCTTAGTGAATGTGGGAAAGAAGCCTTGGATTTCCAGCAGAGATTCTTCAGGTGCTCCGTCCTCTGCGATCACATCTCTGTCAGACAGATAAGATTGAGACAGCTCAGGTCAGGGGCGTGAGATATCATGCATCTGGGGAGTTATGATTCATGACTGTCACTCCACTGACAGCGGTGCATGCTGGGAGTGAGCGCTGTTTAACCACTGGCCTTTGTTAGTAATTTAGCACTGATGGACATTTTACCTTTATTTCTCAAGAATGATGTTATTATAGATTGAAGGTTTTTGAAGCACAATGTGACAAGACAATGGGTGCTGATGTGTAATGCCAATTGTTTTCTGTTATATTATCTACTATAGATAACGTATCAAGTTAAATGGCAGAGACATATGAAAGTAACTCAATAGTCCCCTCGGGTCCTGAGCTTTGCTATCACACCAAACATTCTGTGCATAGAGAATACTTTTGGACTTGTAAAAAAGGATATGATAAATAAGTTATGACAGCATGTGTTTTTACATTGCTTTAACTCATCAAAATAAGCAAAAAAATAATAATTTAAAGTCAGTTTAATGTAACTTAAGTTGAAATTACTTAAACATCCAAGTTGATTGTACTCAAAAAAATTAAGGCAGCAACTTTTTACAGTGTTATACTTTTGATCTAGATTAATACAATTCTACATTGTAATTCTCATTAAGCCACATCATGCTTTCAAAAGATACATTTTTGGGGGAAAAAGGTCCAGCGAGGTTCTATATAGAACCCTGGGCTTCTTGACTCGATTCTAAAGAACCGAGAAAGAGTTCTATATAAGGAGAACATTTCTTCAAATTTACCTGGTAATTTACTTCTTTTTTCTAGCGATAAACTATGTTTACGAGCTTTTTATTTCAGAAAAATGTACTGATATAAAAAATGTACACAAAATGAATTCATTACAACTATGAAACGTTAAAGGGTTCTAAATGTGAAGCGCCTGACGGAACCCTTTTCTTCTAAAGAGTGATTGAGTCGCATTTTCAATTTTAATATAACATCTGCCTTAAATGTGACCAAACGGTGTTTATACCTGCAAGCTCTCTGTCCAGGTTTTCGATGAAGCTCTGTAGGTCGCTGGTGTCCCCGAGCCTGGCTGTAAAGAGCAGAGAGAGACAGAAGACGTCAGCACACTGGAACGCTCCAGACATTTCCCGTGGAACATTCCAGCCAGAAAGAAATGCGACCCTCTGAATTACGTAAGGCAAGACAATAGAGGGAGTGAAGTTCCCCATGCATGATAAAACGCCACATGTTCAAATGGTCTTAATAAGCCAAGGTCACAGGTTTGATTTAGACATAAACGCAGTTGTTTCTTATTTCAGTGTTATTGTTAGTTTGGTAGATATTTCAGAACACCGTTTGCATTCAGTCTAACAGCAGAAAGTATTGAAGGTGCACCTGCATTTTAAACGCCTACGCCTACATCCATCCATTCCTTGAATGAGTGTGGTTTACTAGCGTATTTACTAAAACTTCTCAGGTAATGTCATTGGTGTGTCCAGGTGTGAACGGAATTACAATCAGAGCTATAGAAATGTGTCTTCATATTTACAAGTATCAACTCTCTATGACAAGAAGAGCAAAAGAGATTGTGAATCTCAGTGTGTGGCCTTATAAAGGTTAGACACAGATGGACAACAGTGGTTATATATGGATATATTATAATTGTCTGAATTAAATTATCGCTGGATATTGGTAGGGACGTGTCCCCAGCATCCCTAATAAATTCTATGCCCTTGTAATAAAAATAATAACACTAGTAAAACGCATGCATATAGATCGTCTTTTAAAGTGCCCGTGAAGCGGAAGTTGCAAAACGACTTTTCTCCAGTGTTGTGACGTATTTCCGAGAGAAACGAAATACTAAATGAGGCAAAATAGTGGGCGTGGCTTTTTTCCCAACTAGCACCTGATTGGATCGAGAAAAGTAGGTGTTGTCATTCAGCCTGTCTACTGTCAGTTGGAGGGGCGTGGTTACGGATGTTAGGCAGAACCCAAACCGTGAAACCTACGTCATCAGGGAAGGTCCTATGGTCCAATGCAGAGGCGAGGGAAAATTTCAGATTTTGATTAAAGATTATGAAGCCAAAAAAAATGTTTGTGTGGATTGACTTGCATGGATGAAATGTTTACCACAAAACGATCAATTTAGGCAAACAAAGTAAGTATGGTCAATTTTGAATTCATGGGGACTTTAAACTGACTGATTGATTCAACTGGTTTTTAAGATGCCTTTTCTGGTTCACCATCTTTATATTCAATTCCTTCACACCAGGATTCATGCATTCTGAAGCCAGATCAAAAGCCTCAAAGCAGAACAATCCACACACACACAGGCTAGAATAAGCACACAGGGGTTCGAGCCATGAGCCATGGGAGGGCCTGTTTAGTAAATGTGACGCCGTCTGCCGGGTGTTGTGATGTTAATACCTTTAGGTGCCGAGGTCATGCTTGCGATGTGGAGCTCCTCTTGACTGGCATTCAAACTGTTTGCCAGCGAAGCCTCACTACCTGAAAAGACACAGAAGGGTTAATGTCTGCCTCATACATCTGAATGCCAGGCTGGCTGAGCCACACAAGGGGATTGATATCACAAGAATAAAGCTTTCTTACGATCAAAGGTTAACTAATGCATTTATTCTATTACATTAGGATCGTGAGGATCAAAACCAAGAGAGATGTGAATCACATTAGCACAAGCTATAGAAGTGTCTCTGTGTGTGGGTCGAGTCTTTATAAGAGGCAAGAGCTAAATCAAAAGTTCAAGAAAGTTTTCATTTATGCTTAAAGCTAGTCTGTATTACATATATTTGAAGTCTATGGTTTGTCCTCATTTAGTGAGAACGTGGGTGTGTGTGTGTTTGATAAAAGCAGAGAATCATATAATCCATTGAATTAAAAAAAGGAATGAAAATAGTGACTGGTGATTGAGAAATATGAGCACAAAATCTAAAATATTTTAAGTAGCACATGAAAAGGCTCTGTATGTGTGTCCATTAAGTATGCAGTGCAGTTTGACTGTAGTGTACTTACAGTAGTCTGAATCGTCTCCATCACTGACTCCTGTGTGTCTCTTCACATCTCTCAGCACGTGTTCAGAGCTCAACTCCTTCACAACATCATTAAACTCCTGCAGTAAGTCTCCCAGCTCCAAATCCAACTCTACAATTCACATCGTATATTAGAATTGCTGAACCAAATACTGAGAAATCATTTTCAACTATTTATGGCTGATGTCTACATGAAGACATTATAAAATGAATAAACTCAAATAAATCAAATCTCCTTGATATACATCACATTTGAAATAATATGGAATTTTATACAAGAAAAGTTTAAGCTTACCAGAATTATTTGGTGTAGACATGGTGAGGCTCTCTGAATAGTCCTGGAAACTGATGATTCTTCTCAGAGAGTGTTTATATAGACTCCACCCAGCACACAATGCGTCGACCAATCACAGCACGGCTTGGTTTCCGTGGTCACAGTAAAGAAATTTCCCCTGACTCCTACACACATGATGTCACATGCGGAAGAGAGAAAGCTCGTTTCCAACCACTCCTTTCACAGCATTATTCACTGGAAGACAGCCTTCAGATAATGTCCAATAAATCAGATATACTTAAAGATTCTACATAATGACTATGCTACCAACTCACAAATTGCTTTTTTTGTTGATTTCTTATTTGTCTTAATTTATTCTACCATTGCACTCAGGTTAAATCTCTTTGGGAGAACTTAAGTTGTTATATTTCTCCTTTTTTAAAATGGGATTTAAGCTTTTCATAGATACATTTCTTTATTTTATTTCGGGAGTGACAATGCTATTAAGATTGTTGTTTATTTGTGTTGCATTGTAACAAAAAAAAAAAACCACAAACACAGATTTCTCAAGACTTTGCCTAGATTTGATGTCTTTATTGCTGAGATTTCCCTAATTGTAAAATCTCTTAAACTTGTTGATAACAATAAGAACAAGTTTCTCACGAAATAGCTATTTCCTGCACATATTTATTACTGGTTGAGGTGCCATAATATTTCCCCATTTCCTTGATGTGTTCAATGCAGTGCTGTTTCTTTTCTTGCAATTAAAAAATAAGGTAACACTTTAGAATACGGTTCCTTCGTTAATGAATAACTACACAAGAACTAATGAGTAACACAATATTAACAATCTAGTAACTATTATTAGCTAACAAGAAACTCTGATTAACGAACTAGTAAGTAATAGCGCACAGATGAAAGTGGTAGTTCCCTATTAACTAATCAATAACTACTATTTTTTTAATGCTTCCCAGAGTGAAAAAGTTCATTAACAATCTAGTAACTATTATTAGCTAACAAGAAACTCTGATTAACGAATTAGTAAGTAATAGCGCACAGATGAAAGTGGTACTTCACTAATAACTAATCAATAACTACTATTTTTTTAATGCTTCCCAGAGAAATACTGAAAATGTTCATAATTCATGCAAAACTAATCAATAACCAATGCAGGATAAATGACTAGCACTACATTAACATTTTAACTGCTACTGTAAACGAATACACAAGGTTGTGTATATTATCAATATGTAATAGCATAGGAGACTTATGATTTGGGAAAGCTGTTAATAATTGGCCTATGCTGTCTATTTATCAACTGAATAATTTTAAAGAAATGGATTTTTAAATGCAGTTGTCGGGACCTTACTCGTCCTGTGGCCAATTTTCCGGCATTCCTCTGGACTGGCATTGAATCACTCGAGGCATGGTGAGTACTGGGACATATTGAGGCGTCAGCCACCCAAAAACCATATACAGTGATTACCTCCCAAAAAATATGTTTTTATGTATGTCTCCTAGCTCATATATATATGTGTGTGTGTGTGTGTGTGTGTGTGTGTGTGTGTGTGTGTGTGTGTGTGTGTGTGTGTGTGTGTGTGTGTGTGTGTGTGTGTTTGTGTGTGTGTGTAACTAATGACTAAAGTGTTACTACATACTTCTAAAGACATTTTCTAAAAGTACCATTTAAAAGTTCACCAAAAATCTCAAACGCTTGAAATGACTTTTGTGTTTGGTTGCACAAATCATGACTAGATCATGTAGTAACACTTGAGTCATTAGTTAGTTCCTACTTCCTATTATTAGAATACGGATCCAAATAATTAGTAATTCCCATAGAAGTATGAAGTACCACTTTCATCTGTGCACTATTACTTACTAATTCGTTAATCAGAGTTTCTTGTTAGTTAATAATAGTTACTAGATTGTTAATATTGTACTCATTAGTTCTTGTGTAGTTATTCATTAACGAAGGAACTGAGGTTACTGTGTTAGTAGGAGTGTTTTTTGTAAGGGCTGTTATCATTCTTATTTTATGCATATCACTTTTTATAGTTTTTCTTTTTTCAGTAGTTCCACTACACCAAAAAAAAAAAAAAAAAAAAAAAAAAAATGCTGGTTTACAGAATATTAATAGAATATAACCGTGGCTAGAATATGAACATGAGAGCTATCAGATAGATGTGATATCACTGGTGCCCTCACGATGGCGTCACTGAGACATATTAACAACACAGCAATAATAAAAAAATAAATAAATAAAAAAAACATAGCAATACTACAAATATAACTGTGCATTTTGTTTTGAAATCCACAGTTCCAATTCATGTTGTTTCAGGAAAGCAAAACTGAACATCAACAATTGAAATGAAAAGGTATAACTACTATAATCTCTCTTATTATAGTTTAGACTGTATATGTTATTATAAAGCATTACAGAGAGCTCAGTGTTGAATGGGGGAAAATGCTTAACCGCAACCCATCTATCATTAAAAGGCATTCAGGCAGAAAAACATCCCGTCAGACCAGTATTTTTCGCTTTCACCCAACGGCTTTATAATCGCGGGTTACTCTCGAGCGTCTCACCTGTGGCACAGGTACGCGGCGCGCTCCCGACGCATTTCACGCGAGCTCTCCTCGTGCTCACAGAGCTCAACATGTTCCTGAAGAATGGACAGCTCAACACCACCACATGATGAGCTGGACGACTCTACAGGTCAGTGTCATATACAGGACATCACTCGGTATTAGTATTATATTTTCAGAAAGAAAATATTTCACGTATTTTGGCGTAGAACGCCAAGTCTTTCAGGCGTTTCACGGAGGTAAAGTCCACAGAAGTCAGTCTGCAACTCCGCATTCAGTGTGTCAGGTGTGGATTAACACGTTTCCAACTATTTCATTTGGTGGTTTCAAATAGACAGACACATTAGACTACTGTATACAAAGAAATAGAAGATAAACGTCTAAGAGTTTAAAGGGACAGCGTCCAAAATGTGTTGCTGGCACTTTCCATGTATAGAGCACAAATTAGTGTCCCATAACAATTTTTTAGAGCAAATAAAAAGCAAAAATCCCATGTTTGTTTGTTTGTTTTATTCAAGAAAGCTATCTTAGATATTATGCATTTATTATTTATCACACTTTTTTAAGCTTAACTATTCAACCCTGTTTATAACAATAAAAACGATCAAATAGCCTACATAATTAATTATTGGGAAAATATATGCTTATCAAACATACACATCTGTTGCAGAACCTGTTAAGCCCCTTAAGTGTAAATCTGTCACTCTGCCATTTCCTTTAGAACGTTTAACCTTTGGACTTTATGAATGTTTTACAGGATGTTTATTTGTAAAATATTAAGCAAATAAACTATACATACAAACAATATAGAAAAGGGCTGGGAAAAATGACGAAATATATTTGATTTGATTTGATTTAATATTTGGTTACTGACACTTTATTTTAGTGTCTTTGTTACACACGTTAAATGTTACTAGAGTAATTACTAAATTGTGCTTAACGACATGCAACTAACCTAAACCGCACCCTAATCTTAACCATAACCCTATAGTAAGTACATGTAGTTAATTATTATTACTCAGTACTTAAATGTATGATTACACTGTAACACTGACACCTTAAAATAAAGTGTAAGACTAATAGTTACATTGTACTTACTCAAATAAGTACTGAGTTATAATAATTAACTACATGTACTTACTATAGGGTTACAGTTAGCGTTAAGGTCTGATTTACTTGCAATAATTATGCATAATTTACTGTTATAGTAAGTACATATTGTAACGTGTAACTAGATCACCATAAAATAAAGTCTTACCTATTTAAATTCTGGAAGAAGATGCATTGTTGGGGGATGCATTTATTTTTTTAGAATTCAAGACCTATTTTGTAGTCTTTATGCAGATTATATATTCTAAAGTAAACTCTCTGGCTGCTGGAACACCAAGTAAGTCTAAAATACAGCCTTTGCAAAAACGCATTCAAAAGGGGGAAAAAAAGACTGGCTTGGTGGTTAAGGATTACACAGTGTGGTTAAACTTTTATATGGAAAGAAGGGTGTTGCTTTCTTTCAAGTAGTAAGTTGCTTCTCTTGTTTTGCAGTGGGTGCTTCTCTTGGCATCTGCAGGGCAAATCCAAAGCCTCGGAAAACTGTGTTTTACCGTCATTGAGGAGCAAGAAGCGGGCGTTAAGATCGGAAGCCTAAGCATGAACTACTCGGCTCCATACCAGCTCCGAGACGAGACGCACATCAGGGTGGACGAAAGCACAGGCGATCTGTTCACTAAAGAGCGCATCGACAGAGAGACCTTGTGTCCGCCACATCAGGACGGGGACTGCACATTTCTGAACACTGCACTCGTGGGTCTTAATTTCGATTTGGTGCCGATACTATTTGTTGTGGATGATGTTAACGACAACGCTCCTTTTTTCGAGAGGAACGAGATTCATATACGCATACCTGAAGATGCATCAAATGGGACGGGTTTTCCACTGGATGACCAGGCACAGGATAGGGACACTGGCAATAATGGCTTGATACATTACCATTTAAAAGGCTCCGATGGCTTTTTTGGCATCAAACAAGACGGGTATGAACTTGAGCTGGTGGTACAAAGGGAACTGGACCGGGAAACTCGGGAAAACCACTTCTTGGTTCTTGTAGCAGTAGATGGGGGTTCAGTGCCACTCAGCGCTACAGCTAATCTCATTGTAACTGTAACCGATGTTGATGACAATTGCCCAGAGTTTGACGCCGATAGCCCCATCACAGCCACTGTGGCAGGATTAGGAATCAAGGGCGCTGCGGTGGCACAGCTTAAAGCCACAGACAAAGACCTGGGCCAAAATGCCCAGATCACTTTCTCCTTCAGCCGTCAGATCTCAGACAGGGCTAAAACGCTCTTTCACGTGGACGGACACACAGGTCTGATCAGCCTAGCTGTTGATGTGCAGGTTGACAGTTCTGAGAAGCACATGTTGAAAGTCCTTGCAAACAGCCCACTTTGCCCCCCTGCTCAAACTCAGGTAACCGTAGACATTAAGCCGCTGGCGAGTCCAGAGCCGACCATAAAGATCAGGTTTGTCGCAGAGCATAAAAACCAAGTGATCGTGTTACAAGAGAACGAGCCCCCCACTGTCTTGGCCCTCTTGGAGATACAAGACACCTCTAGTGATAAAGGTTCCCTGTCCTTAGAAGCAGACAGCATGCCATTTTCTTTGAAACCGCAAACAGGCAGCTATTTGCTTTCAACCTCAAAACCTCTAGATTTTGAGATGTGCAGGGAGTATGATGTTACAGTAGTCATTTCTGATCCTCACGGCACACGGCTGCATGGAAGGAAAGTCATAAAAGTGGTGGTTGAAGATGTGAATGATAATGCCCCGAAGTTTGATCAAACACGATATGAAAAGGATATCAAGGAGAACAACACGGCTGGAATGTTTCTTCTGAAAGTGCAGGCGACCGACGCAGATGCAGAACAGTTTGGCAAAGTAAAGTACAGGCTTACAAACGGGGGGCCTTTCAGTATTCATGAAGAGACTGGCGTGATTTCGGTAGCAGAGTCGTTGGATAGAGAACAGCAGGAGACGTACACCCTGACTGTTCTGGCCCGGGACGGCGGCGATCCTGCACAGGAGGGCTTTGCTCTTGTGTCCGTCAACGTACTGGATCTGAATGACAATCCACCGGCCTTTTCAACCCCACATTTCTATTTCTTTGTGTCTGAGAGCCTTCCACGACTTTCCCAAGTTGGGAAAATCCCGGTAAGTGATGCCGATGATGGAGACAACGGAAGAATAATGGATGTGCGTATTTTAAATGAAAAGGTCCCTTTTGCTATAGACCTGGTGCAAGGATCGCTCCGCAGCACCGGCGAGGTCGATCGTGAGAAGCAGGATCGCTATGAGCTTCTGGTTGTAGCCGTCGACGGCGGCAGACCGGCTCTTTCCACTACGGTGAAAATGACCATTTTTGTCGAGGATGTCAATGATAATCAACCCCATGTCCTTCTTCCTAGCAGCAACCTCTCCTGTCTGACCATATCTCCAGCTACCCAAGCAGGGAGCATGATAACAAAGATCTACGCCATTGATGAGGACTCGGGAATGAATTCGGACATCACTTACCAAATTGTTGCGAGTGAACCGGCTCTCCAAAGCCCCTTCCAGATTGACCAGCACTCAGGAAACATCACACTGGTCCAGCGCCTGAGCGGCGAGGACTACGGCATGCACCACCTCTTCGTAGTCGTTCGCGATGGAGGAAAGCCAGACCCGCTGCAGACCACTGTGTGGGTCAACCTGCTGGTCAACGAGACTCTGGAGAAATGTCAGGTGAGCGCAGTGCCAGAGTACCTGCCGGCGACGCTGCCGCCTCCGAAGCCGCTACCTGTCAAAGACTGCAGAGGCGATTCAAACGCCTGGCTCGTTCTTCTCTGCGGCCTGGGCCTGATGGTCATCTCAGGCGGGGTTCTTCTGGTGCTTGCAGTGGTGTTTATTAAGCACAAACACACAAAAAGGAAAGTAAAAAAAAAGAATACATGGGAAACTGGAAATCTCTGTGAACTGAGCCCTTTAAACTAAAGCGATATTCCAGTTAAATGATTATGTATAAAAAATATCACAAAAGTTTGGGGGGGGGGGCTTTTTTGATAACCTGCATATAGTATTCATTGACATTAGTATTGTATAGTCAGCGTGTTTCCGCCACAGAATAAAATATAAAAAAGGTAATTGCGACTTTTTATCTCACAATTCTAACTTGTTTTTCTCAAAATTGCATGACAAACTCGCAATTGCGTGTTGTAAAGTCAAAATTGTGTGATATAAAGTTGCAAATGTAAGAAAAATGTCAGAGTTGTGAGAAAAAAAAGGTCAGAATTTCAAAAATTCTGAATGTATAACACAATTGCAAGTTTATATCTTAATTCTGACTTTACAACACAATTGCGAGTTTATATCACATAATGTCAGAATTGTGAGATAAAAAGTCACAAATACCTTTTTTCTTTTTATTCTGTAGTGGAAACAAGCTTCCATAGTATTGTAATAGAAACATGATACTTATACTAAAATATAAATATATTAGTATGGCATAATTTTAGAGTCCTGCTTCCTTTTTCTATAATAATGTGTTTATTTAAAATAAAATAAACTCTTAACATTTTTAAAGCATAAAATGAAGATTAAGGACTGTGTTCTGTTAATTATCTGTCAGCAATGGTGTGACAGTTCTGGAAGTAAAATGAAAATACTTACAGGTGCAGTCTTGCAGAAAGAAAAGTGCACTTGTTTGGATTGTTCTCATGTTTCTCGTCTTGTGAGTCATCGTGTCGATGCCATGAGTTTATTGGCGCTTTTCCATTACCAGTACCGGCTCGACTCGACTCGGCTCGCTTTTCGCTCCGTTTTCCATTGCAGAAAGTACCGCCACAAATAGTACCCGGTCGTCATAGCGACGCATTTCGTTCCTCGTTGCCCCATCAAGCTCTCGCTGGATCCTCTCTTCGGCAACCAAACAAAGGAATGTCTGCACCTCCTCGTATGACCACGACGTATTCTTCCGAGTTGCCATAATAATAGTAGTAAGTTTAGTAACTATCTCTGGCCAAACTATTTAAAAATGGCGGGATTATTCTGGATACTCCATCTGGCGCGTGCAATGATGACGCAGATTCTCTGTGACCAATCAGCAGTCGGCATTGTTTTCACGTCACATTTTAGTATCGCCTTAGCTCGCTTAGAACCTCGCCGGAGGTGGTACGAAAAAAAGTACCCGAAAGCAGTTACAGGTACAACTTTTACACAGTGGAAAACCAAACAAAGGCGAGTCGAGTCGAGTCGAGTCGAGTCGAGCCGAGGCGAGCTGGTACTGTGTAGTGGAAAAGCGCCATATGAGAGGCTGTGCTGGATAGTCTGATGCATTCAGCACAATCATCTAGATCATGGAGCAATATGACTGTTTGTCTGCTATGCTGATTTAAACCATCGGCTATGAATTCAACTATTCCAAAAATGAAAATATTGATTGACCCTGTTTATTTTCTTAACAGCAGCTCTTATTGTGACTAGTTCATGTTCACCAAAAGCCACATAACATTTTAGGCATTGTTCTGGTCATCACATCGTTCTCAAATCTTGGCAGCATAGTTAACTAAATCCATAATGCTGATTGATGGTAATGAAATAAACAAGGAATGCTGAATAAAGAAGCATTACCATTGGGATACATTGGGATGTTCTTGGGTGAGCTTGAACTTTATCCTTGATGACCTTCAGCTTTACACATTATAAAACAGACACTTTTTCAATCAATTCCTGATTGATAAAATTAGAGATTGACCGATATTGAAAACGATACCAATAATTTACATGTTTGTGTGCCCAGTAACCTATATACAGAACCAATATTTATTGGGTTAAAGCTGAAATCTGTTAGCCTGGTTAAAACCAGACCATTCTCAGTTGTAACTGAGTTATGGTCTGGCAAAGCGTCATAGACAAATCATTTCCAGAGGGGCGTCACCAACGGACGTCACGGATAGACCTAAACCCAATCAGAGCGATGAAGGAGATGACGTATGCAATCTAACGATCGCTTATATCACGTCAAACCGTGCAAATTATTCTTTGTTCTCAAATTGTTAATGTTAACAACATCAGCATTGCGTGACTACATTTAATGCCCTTCCGATGTTTATCTTGTTTTCGCGTGGACCAGTTGCAGTCTCTTTTTTTCTGTAGCCACTCCGAAGTCCGAAGACTTTTGCATTTTACAGCGGGTGAATCTGTTGTCACTGGTGATTGTCTTTTGAACCTTTCTGGATCCGCCATCAAATGAATAAGTTTAATTATATCAAGTGCTGTGAGAAAAGGCTATAAATCTCTACCTCCAACATCCTCACACACAATATAGCTTATACTAGCCGAGACTCTGCTTTATGTGTACAGATGTGTGTGTGCAGATGTGTGTGTACAGATGTGATGTAATGACGCAAAGACATGCTTGAATTTCCCGCGGAAATCCACCAGTACCACTGGAATTAAAAACATTACAAGCTTACCGTTTTGAATCGAGCTACGGCAAGCAGCAAGTTATGAACACTGGCTGATTATGTACTTGCTCAAAAATTTAGTTACGGAATGCAGCTTTAATTTAGCACTTTTTTTCAATACTGTAATTTCACTCCCTCCTTGCATAGAAAACACACTTCTAATAGAGGAGTGTGAAAAAGTGCCAAAAAAATAAAGAGCACTGTAACTAAAGTGTCTTTTTAAAGGTAAACAAACGGTTACCAAATTAAGCATGTAAAAAATAATTCTAGCAATTTTATTTTTTAAAGAAGCATAAAACATTCTAAACCGCCTGAATAAATAAAACATTGCAAACAATCAAGTCCTGACACTTTTTCTGTGAATATTAATGTTTCACTTGTAATATGCCACAGTAGGGAAGCAAACTGGGTTTTGTGTTGATTGATTTTAAGTCCCAATTCTAATTTCAATAGTTCAACTTAGATTTTTTTAAAATTCATATAAACTTTAAGCAATAATATGCACAATCAACAAATGGTTTCCATTGTGACTAACAGCACATGGAGTTTAAAACACGGTTCGTTAGCTAATGCTGTGGAGAAACCTCCTGAGAAATTGTATGAAAATCTCAAGGAATTGTAAAGGTTGTCAGACATCATTCATCTCATACCCGCAGGTGTCCAGTGTCTTCCAGCCAATAGTGCCTTTCTCAAGCTCATTCAGGAGATTCAGAGACTCAATAAACATGCATGGAATGAGGAAACTGTAAATTATTCTCTTTTGAATGCTGGTGATTTGGACAAGATTATGCATGAAAGAAGTGGTAAGAACTTTGATTTTGACTTATGTTTCTTTATACAAGAAAAATAAAAGAAGTGTCCAATAAAAGAAGTTCTTGAAAGAAAACAAAACAGATACCATAATCATAGAAGACATGAAAGGGGTTTTATCAATGACACAAAAAGCATGTTTAGGCAGGTCTGCTGAGTGCAGGTGGAATGAGAAAGCACTTCCCGAAATAAGATAGGAGTAAGAAAACACCATCAGGTAACTGTCATGTTTCCGCATACGGGCTAGAAAGATACTTCATGTCTGATTCTTAAATTGCATTAATATCCGTTGCTGCTCCTCTTCTTTATGTGCCTCAAGCCTGTTTTTGACCCTTACACTTTTTACGGCCACTGAAAGATAAATACTGTCAAAAAGATAAATTGTGTGTTATACTTTTAACTATTTGAACATATTTGATCTGCCCTCAGTAGTTCAAATGAGCCCACGAGACAACGTCATATTTTCCAAAAGCATAAAGGGTTATGCCCCTGCAAACATAATGTTCTAAATCAATGCGTCAATAGAAAGATTTACTGTACTGTGTTGGTATGTCAATTGGTATCAGATGGTCGCACCATTACTGAATACTTACAATTTAGCCTACTATATTTCAGATGTTTAGCGTATAAAAAAAAAAATAATTAAATTCTGTTGTAAAATAGATTTACAAAATTAAACCATGGAGAAACAATATATATTCCTTAAATAATATTTAAATAAATTGTAGTATTATTATTGTTGTTGTTAATATTATTATGAGAAGTAGGCTATTCTATTATAGGCCTACAATAGTAATATGTATCTGTTATCATTTCTTCTAGTTTTTCTCAAATAAAATTATGAAAATGCTCATTAGGCATTCTCTCAGAGCAGCTCTGGAAATGTTCATGTATCAATGTCCTTGTGTTGTTTGTGAGACGTACGCGTCATGTACTTGAGTATGTAGTAAGTAGACGAAACAGCACAGCTCATTCACACAGAGACACACAGAACAAGCAGATTATATATTTACATAGCAGTCTTTTGTGCGTGCAATATTCACAGATCATGTCGCGATTTGATTTATTGTAGCTTTACTTTCGATTTATTCATCCATACATCTACCAGTTTGTGTGTTTTACGGGACATCTGCATTATAGCCTACTGTAAATTTTAAATTTTCTATATCCAAAGTATTCCCATACTGGCCAGGGCTTCGCGCGCGTGTGTGTGTGTGTGTGTGTGTGTGTGTGTGTGTGTGTGTGCGCGCGCGCGTGCGTGCGTGCGTGCGTGTGTGTGTAGAATTCGACAGCATTTCGCTTTCGGCTGGGTCTGCATCACTGGTGTCTGTCTTCTCCGTCACCTTCTCCATATTTTTTTCTCCCGTCTGTTCTCCCGCCCTTCAATCAATGAATGCTGTAGTTTCCGGAGCACAATGTTTTCACCCAAAGTATTTTATTTTTTTAGTATTATTTTTTTACTCAGTAACAGATATGATTTCAAATGTAGCGAACTACAATACTTCAAACAAAACCACTTAAGTAAAAGTAAAATTACAGATTTTAAAAACTACTTAAGTAGAAGTACTCAAAAAAAACTACTCAATTACAGTAACGCGAGTAAATGTAATTCGTTACATTACACCTCTGAACATGTGTCTGGGACGCTACAACACAGGCTTGAGCGGAAACAGCTCGGGTGAATTATATATATATATATGCATCTACAGTCAAACCGAAAATTATTCAGACACCAGATATAATTTTTGATATTTTTTTACTAGTGGG